AAAAAAAAAAAAAAAAAAAAAAAAAAAAAAAAAAGAAAAGCAACTGTAGGCTGGGCGTGGTGGCTCATGCCTGTAATCCCAGCACTTTGGGAGGCCAAGGCAGATGGATCACCTGAGGTCAGGAGTTCGAGACCAGCCTGGCCAACATGGTGAAACCCCGTCTCCACTAAAAATACAGAACAATTAGCTGGGCGTGGTAGTGGGTGCCTATAATCCCAGCTACATGGGAGACTGAAGCAGGAGAATCATTTGAACCCGGGAGGCGGAGGATGCGGTGAGCCGAGACCTCACCATTGCTCTCCAGCCTCGGCGAGAAGAGCGAAATTCCGCCTTAAAAAACAAAATAAAGGTCGGGCACGGTGGCTCAAGCCTGTAATCCCAGCACTTTGGGAGGCCGAGGCGGGTGGATCACGAGGTCAAGAGATCGAGACCATCCTGGTCAACATGGTGAAACCCTGTCTCTACTAAAACTACAAAAAATTAGCTGAGCATGGTGGCACGTGCCTGTAGTCCCAGCTACTCGGGAGGCTGAGGCAGGAGAATTGCCTGAACCCAGGAGGCGGAGGCTGCGGTGAGCCGAGATCGCGCCATTGCACTCCAGCCTGGGTAACAAGAGTGAAACTCCGTCTCCAAAAATAAAAAATAAAAATAAATAAACAAATAAATAAAATAAAATAAAATAAAAATAAAAGAAAGCAATTGTAGAGTATTCTATCCAGAAGGCAATACAGCCTCCCTGGACACTATTCTAGCATGGAAAAAAGGTTCCAGAAGAGTTTCCAAGCTTACCCAGGGTACAGTCAGTCTACATGGCCTCCTTCTGTGGGGACAGGAATACCCTCTCTGTGCGTACAAACTCTCTGTTGGGAGAGGGTCCACAGTGAACCCAGAGACCCCCCTGCCAAGTGAACCTTGCAGAGTGACCCCTTCCCACAAGTCTTGTCTGTAAATGTCCTCACTCCACACTCTGGCTCTTGTGTGCACGTATAGCAGGTGGAGTGAGGTAATAGAAGCTGGGGAGGCTGCTTGGAGATTTGCTAGGGATTAGTACAAATATTCCAGGTACTTAGGACTTTGAAACGGGATGGCCACGAGGATTTTCTAATTTTTTCCAAAAGGAAAAATCCAAGTCAACAGCAGGGCATGGTATAGACAAGTGTTCTTCACCCTGACTGTACATTAGAATTACCTAAGGAGTTTAACACAACACTGATGCTGCGGTCCCACCCTGGACCGATTAAGGCAGAATGTGAATGCCATTCTCTAGTGCTAGGGACAGAGGAGAGAAAGAGGCCCCTGTGGACCTCACACAAAGAAGGACACTCACCCGCTTAGTGACACAGTCAGTCATGGGGCAAGCCCAGGTCTATGCAATTTAGGGGCCCCATTGGAGTTCTTCAAGAAGCATATTGCACGGTGGCTTACGCCTGTAATCCTAGCACTTTGGGAGGCTGAGGCAGGTGGATCATGAGGTCAGGAGATCGAGACCATCCTGGCCAACATGGTGAAACCCCATCTCTACTAAAAATACAAACATTAGCTGGGTGTGTGATGGAGCATGCCTGTAATCCCAGCTAGCCGGGAGGCTGAGGCAGGAGAATCGCTTGAACCCAGGAGTCGGAGGTTGCCGTGAGCTGAGATCGTGCCACTGCACTCTAGTCTGGCCACAGAGCAAGACTCCGTTTCAAAAAAAGAAAAAAAGAAAGCATATTGCTTTGCCACAGTGATGCTATTTTAGGTATGAACTTGAATCTGTTTCAATCTAGAAAAATGAATGTATTACTGACAAATGTCAGTGTTATTTTTAGCCCATACCAGGGTGTGCCACCTCCTAAGCCCCCACCCTGCTACTGAGAACCAGTAAAGGCGGAAAACCATTGGAGGGTCCTGTTGCCTGCCCTCCAGCTCTTAGGCCAGAAAGATGGGTAGCCCCATGAGCCCTCACCACAGGGGATGGAGAAGGGAGGGAGGTTCTCTCAGAGGTGGTGGATGCAGTCAAACCCACTGTTCTCGCTACCTCAGTTGCGTTTATGGCTTATATAATACATGTTAATCTTCCATTTTTTCCAACTTGTCTTATAGGCTATTATGCTGATAATTGGAAAGACTATTTAAGGGAAAAAGATCCTCCAATGACGAAGGCGTTCTTTGACACAGCTGAGGAGAAGCCATTCTGCAGTGAGTGGTGAATGTGGTGGTTTGCTGTTGCCTAACTCTTATTTTGGGGAGGGCTAAGTCTCAGCTTCCTAGTTACTTCCTGGCAAATGAGAGCCACGATGGAGCATCAGCTTTGGAGCTGGAAGGGCCTAGGTCGAATCCTGAGTCTACCACCTAATGGTTGTGGGACGTTGGTCAAATCATTTGACTTCTCATCAGTGTCCTGACTGGTAAAATGGGGGTAATAATGCCTGTCTTCTGGAATATTAGGTTTGATTTAATACAATTTAAAAATATGAATCTAATAAAATCTCAACAAATCAGACTTGTTCAGTTTCACTGGATGATCATTCTAATCACTAAGATCTTCCAGAAAACCGCTTGATTCCCCAAAAGACATGAAATTGAGACTAGGAAAAATCAGGTGTCAGCCATATCTACAGGTCAGTTCCAGCTCTAAAGCAAACATGATGACCTAAAGGCATCAGGAGGTTGAGTATTCCAGATGGGAACTAAATGGGGCAGCCGATGATTAGATGCCTCGGGAAGCAACTAGAATTTCCCTGGGAAGATGTATTTTTCCTATAGTCTTGTGCCCATTTTCACTTTCCTTGGAGACAACTATTTATTATTATTTTTTGAGACAGAGTTTCACTCTGTGCCCAGGCTGAAGTGTAGTGGCGCAATCTCAGCTCACTGCAACCTCTGCCTCCCAGGCTCAAGCGATCCTCCTGCCTTAGCATCCCAAGTACCTGAGACTACAGGTGTGCCACCATGCCTGGCTAATTTTTGTATTTTTAGTAGAGACGGGGTTTTGCCATGTTGGCGAGCTGGTCTCAAACTCCTGACCTCAGGTGATCCGCCTGCCTCGGCCTCCCAAAGTGCTGGGATTACAGGCATGAACATCTGGCCTATTTTAATTTTTTTTTTTTTTTGAGACAGTCTTGTTCTGTTGCCCAGGCTAGAGTGCAGTGGCACAATAACGGTACACTGCAGCCTCAATCTCCTGGACTCAAGCAATCCTCCTGCCTCAGCCTCCTAAGTAGCTGGGATTTCAGGCATGGGCCACTATGCCCAGCTAACTGTTTTTTTATTTCTTTTAGAGACAGAGTCTCAATGTGTTGCCTAGGCTGGTCTTGAACGCTTAGGCTCAAGCAATCCTCCTGCCTCAGTGCTGGAATTACAGGCATGAGTCTCCATGCCAGGTGTGAACAACTCTTTTAAAAGAATCTGTAGGCCAGGCATGGCAGCTCACGCCTGTAATCCCAGCACTTTGGGAGGGCAAGATGGGCAGATCACTTGAGGCCAGGAGCTGGAGACCATCCTGGCCAACATGGTGACACCCTATCTCTACTAAAAATACAAAACAAAACAAAACAAAATAAATAAATTAGCTGGGTATGGTGGTGCTCGCTTGTAATCCCAGCTCAGAAGGCTGAGGTCTGAGAATCGCTTGGACCCAGGAAGTGGAAGTTGCAGTGAACAGAGATCACATCACTATTACTCCAGCCTGGGCAACACAGAAAGACTCTTACTTAAAAAAAAAAAAAAAAAAAAAAAAAAAATGCCTGCAGATCACTGGGTTTCCCTCTTTCTTTGGACCCTTGTGTGGCAGCCCAGGATTTGGCACCTGCCTGGTCTGTATGGGGCAAGGCCCGAAGAAATTTGGGCCATAAAATGGCAACTCCAGCACGAGGACTGACCTTTATTCCTTCGTGGGATTGTAATCTCCCTGATTAGTTCCTGTTGCAGCATGTTTTAATTTTATGGGTTCTTTTTTTCCCCCCGAGATGGGGTCTAGCTCTGTTGCCTAGGCTGGAGTGCAGTGGTGCGATCTCGGCTCACTGCAACCTCCGCCTCCCCGGTTCAAGCCATTCTCCTGCCTCAGCCTCCCGAGTAGCTGGGATTACAGGCACCCACCACCACGCCCAGCTAATTTTTGTATTTTTAGTAGAGACAGGGTTTCATCGTGTTGGCCAGGCTAGTCTCGAACTCCTGACCTTGTCATCTGCCCACCTTGGCCTCCCAAAGTGCTGGGATTACAAGTATGAGCCACTGTACCCAGCCTCTTTTTTTTTTTTTAAAACCCCACAAGACACTATTCGGGCAATATTTGTATAGATGTACCCAAATATTTACCACTTTTTTTTTGTTCTCTGAGTCTGCTGGTTAGGGAATGCCACTTTATTTTTATTGTCCTTTCTTGCATTTTGTAAATACAGAAAGTATGCTGAGCACTAATGGGTGGGGGGAGTCCAGAGTATGGCAGGAACTTCAAGAAAGGAGAGCTGACTTAGTCTGGGAGTCAGGGAAGACCTCCTGGGGGAATGACATTAGGCTGAAACCTGAAAGCTAGGTTCACAGAGCTGGCAAAGTAAGAGTGCCCAGTGGGTGAAGGCCCAGGAGCCTTCACAGTACAGGAAGTGCAGGTGGCTGGGCATGACTGGGAAAAGCATGAGGGAGGATAGGCTGGTGGACATGGCCCGAACCGTGGAAAACCGTCTCAGCCATGGAGGGTCTCCAAATGGCCCCTTAGTGGGTTCTGTCTAAAATGGGCAGGAACTGAGGTGGACCATATTGTGCCATAGGCCCTGAGACTTCACAATACCTGGAATCACAGGTTCAACGATGATGCTTGATCATGGTGACTGGAAACCAGCGAACTGCTGTGACTCATGCCATCTTTACCACAGAGAAGAGAAGGGAATATCAGAAACTTGTGCCCTGGATCTTTGCAGAGAAACTGGAAAGAAAGAGAGAAAGAGACTCAGTTATTAGGAGGTTCAGCTTTTAGAAACCCTTCAGGGGATCAGCTGGGGGTATCTCTCTCTTGCTGCGTTCTCTGTTTTGCAGTGTATCATTACTTTGTGGATATTATAACATGGAACAGGAACATCAGAAGAGGGCACATTACGGTCAAATTGAGAGACAAAGCTGGAAACACCACAGAGTCCAAAATCAATCAGTAAGTTGAGTTACAATTGTTTGCAGTGTGCTATTTCCTTTTTTGCTCAGAGAAATTAAATCACAGACCCACCTACTTTCTCATTTATAAATCTATGCTTTTCCTTGTTCTATAAAAGATATAAAGAGACCTATTGCCTAGCTGCTTCCCTGGCTCTCGATCTCCCAGGCTCTTTACAAATGGGATTGGTGCGAGCGTCTTCTTTCCTTCCTCCTCCTTCCTCTTCTTCCTTTCTTTCCCTCCTCCCTTTTTCCTTCCCTTCCTCTCTCTTTCCCTCCCTTTCTCCTTTTCTTCCTTTCCTCCTTACTTCCTTTCATTAAACATGTAGAAGTATTTCTTGTTTGCTCTAAAGGATTTAAACAATAAAGGAATATGCTGATTTAATTATCCCACATTGTAACATATATCAAAACATCACATTGTATCTCTTAAATCTGTATGATTATGATTTCTCATTATCAATCAAAAATAACAGTATTTTTTTAAAAAAGAATTGGTAACATAAAAGTGCAAGTCCTTGCCCCATCTCACCAACAATCTCACCCCCAAAGGCAAAAGGCATCCCTACCCACACACGCTTCTATTCTTTCATGAGCTCATAATATATATGTACACATATATAATACATATGTAACATATATATGTGTGTTTGTATATATATGTTTCTGAAACTCAGAAAATGTAATTTGCAGCCAAGCATGGTGGCTCACGCCTGTAATCCCAGCACTTTAGGAGGCCGAGTCAGGTGGATCACCTGGGGTCGGGAGCTCAAGACCAGCCTGGCCAACAAGGTGAAACCCCATCTCTACTAAAATACAGAAATTAGCCAGTCGTGGTAGCCTGTGCCTGTAGTCCCAGCTACTCAAGAGGCTGAGGCAGGAGAATTGCTTGAACCTGGGAGGCAGAGGTTGCAGTGAGCTGGGATCATGCCACTGCACTCCAGCCTGGGCAACAGAGCAAGACTCTATCTCAAAACAAAAAGAAAAGAAAAGGTAATTTGCAATAAAAATTGGAAACATTCTAAAAATCTAACAATAGGAAAATGGTTAATGTAAATATTCCCATATTATAGAATATTAGCTATACATTGAAGTCATTTATAAAACATAGAAAATACTTATAATGTGCTAAGCAAAAAATGTAGAATGTCAAATTATATAAAGCATAATATTAGCTCAACAATGTAAAAATAAATGAAAAAGAAACATGCCAAAATGTTACATTGCCCTTTGGGTGGTGGGAATTTGAGTTCTTTTTTCAACTTTTAACTTTCTGATGGTTATTCACATATATATGTTAATACTTTAGAAAATCTTTTACTATCAGGAAAAGGGAGAGGAGGCTTTGAGCAAAGGAATTTGCAGCTCGTTTGATTCAGGAAGTGTTTTCTGGGACCTATTGTTTACTAAGCACTTGGGTTGTTTCTTGGCCACATCCATAGAAGACTGCATACAATGCCACCTGAAAATGGCAGTGCCTTACGGGTTCATTGTGTAGCTAAATAGAGAAAGTGGGTGTGGGGTGGGTGGTTTGTGGGTGGCTTTTTTAAAAGCATTTTTGGATCATAATATTAACATCCTTTGTTTATTGAACTAAGCATGTTACAAATTGGCTAACACAATTCTTACCAAAACCCTATGAATGAAGTTCTATTACCATTCCCATTTCATCTATGAAGAAACTGAGGCTCAGAGAGACCAAGTGATTTGGCCAGTATCACATAGCTGATCAATGTGAATCAGGTGAAATCAGAAGCAGCTCAGTCCAACCCCAGCACCGATATAGTTTTAATCACTACTTTATATCCTCCCAGGAAGCTGTATTGCTCCTTCTGCCTCCTCCGTACTTGAAGTTTGGGAGTGAGGTGGGTTTTTTGTTTTTTTTTTTTTAGGGTTCCCTGCTGATCTGTTTCATAGCTAATGTCCCCAAACGCATGGTGGTACAGCATTTTCAGGGAGAGCACCGCTAGGGGGCGCATTTTGAGGCCTCTTCAGTGAGGAAGCTAGAGCAGGGATCTCATCTAGAATCTAGAATTTTAGATTTGGAGATTCTAAGAACTAGCAGGGGAGATTGTGCAATTATATAATGAAATTTTCTCACCTAGCAAAACTTAAGTATTCTGTCAATAATTTGTTACATATTTGCTTTACATATGTCTTAGAATTTTCTCTTTTTTTTTCTTGAAACAGGGTGGCACTGTGTCACACAGGCTGGAGTGCAGTGGCAAGATCATGGCTCACTGTAGCTCAGTCTTCTGGGCTCAAGCGATTCTCTTGGCTTAGCCTCCGGAGTAGCTGGGACTACAAGTGTGCCACCGTGTCTAGCTACTTTTAAATTTTTTTGTAGAAATGAGAGATATCACTATTGCCCGGGGTTGGCTTAAATTCCTGAGCTCAGGTGATCCTCCTGTCTTGGCCTCCCAAAGTGCCAGGGTTACAGACAGGAGCCACCACACTCAGTCGAAATTTTAATTTTGGGCTGGGCGCGGTGGCTCAAGCCTGTAATCCCAGCACTTTGGGAGGCCGAGGTGGGTGGATCACGAGGTCAAGAGATCGAGACCATCCTGGTCAACATGGTGAAACCCCGTCTCTACTAAAAATACAAAACATTAGCTGGGCATGGTGGCACGTGCCTGTAATCCCAGCTACTCAGGAGGTTGAGGCAGGAGAATTGCCTGAACCCAGGAGGCGGAGGTTGCGGTGAGCCGAGATCGTGCCATTGCACTCCAGCCTGGGTAACAAGAGCGAAACTCTGTCTCAAAAAAAAAAAAAAAAAAAAAGAAATTTTAATTTTATATAGTGAAGGCCTCCCAGGTAGGAATTCCTATATTTGTATCTTGATTAAGATAGATACCTTAACATCTTTTTGTTTTTTTAGACGGAGTCTTGTTCTGCTGCCCAGGCTGCAGTGCAGTGTCATGGTCTCCGCTCACTACGACCTCTGCCTCGTTGGTTCAAGCGATTCTCCTGCCTCAGCTTCCCAAGTAGCTGGGATTACAGGCATGTGCCACCACGCCCAGCTAATTTTTTGTATTTTTAGTAGAGACAGGGTTTCACCATGTTGGCCAGGCTGGTCTTGAACTCCTGACCTTGTGACCACCCTCCTCGGCCTCCCAAAAGTGCTGGGATTACAGATGTGAGCCACCGCGCCCGGCCTCAATACCTTAACATATTTAATGCACATTCTTATTTTAGTCATATTTGCGAAAACATCACTACCAATCAGAGAATATGTACAAAAAGGAAATAGCTGTTCTATTACACGGAGAGATTATGGATACTGTTCTCTTTTTCAATATCAACTTTAACATTTTATCATTATTTTTACAATTTAAGAAAAAGAAAATGATATCAGAGCACGTGCCCTGAGTTGGTCCAGTCTCCCCAGACTACGGGAATAGATGAAGTCACAGTCAAGCTTATTATCGGCCTGGTGACTCTCCCTGTATTCTTGTATTTGTATTTGTTTTTCTAAAATATCATTTTAAAAGGCTGGGTGTAGTTGCTTACTCCTATAATCCCAGCACTTTGGGGGACTGAGGTGGGAGGATAGCTTGAGCCAAGAAGTTTAAACCAGGCAATATAGCAAGACCCTGTCTGCACAGGAAAAAAAGAAGCAAAAGAAACCGGTTAGCTGGGCTTGGTGGTATGCGCTTGTAGTCCCAGCGACTCGCGAGGCTGAGGCAAGAGGATCGCTTGAATCCAGGAGTTCAAAGCTACAGTGAGCTGTGATTACACCACTGCACTCCAGCCTGAGTGACAGAGTGGGACACTGTCTCAAAAATAATAAAAATTGAGATGTAATTCATATAACATTCACCCCCCCACCCCCTTTTTTTTTTGAGGCAGAGTCTCACTCTGTTACCCAGGTTGGAGCGCGGTGGCATGATCTCAGCTCACTGCAACCTCCGCCTCCTGGGTTGAAGTGATTCTCCTGCCTCAGCCTCCTAAGTAGCTGGGACTACAGGTATGTGCCACCACATCAGCTAATTTTGTATTTTTAGTAGAGATGGGGTTTCAGCATGTTGGCCAGGCTGGTTCCAAACTCCTGACCTCAGGTGATCCGCCTGCCTCGGCCTCCCAAAGTGCTGAAATTGTGGGCCTGAGCCACTGTGTCCGGCCACATTCACCTTTTAAAGTATACGACTTGGCTGGATGCAGTGGCTCATACCTGTAATCCCAGCACTTTGGGAGGCCAAGGCATGGGGAATCACTTGAGCTCAGGAGTTCAAGACCAGGCTGAGCAACATGGCGAAACCTCATCTCTACAAAAAATACAAAAATTAGCTGGGTGTGGTGACTTGTGCCTGTAGTCCCAGCTACTCAAAAGGCTGGGAGGTGGGAGGATGGCTTGAGGAGGCAGAGGTTGCCGTGAGCCAGGATCATGCCATAGCACTCCAGCCTGGTCAACAGAGCCAGACCCTGTCTCAAAAAAAAAAAAAAAAATTAAAAATAAAGTATACTATTTAGTAAATTTTAATATATTCACAGAATGTACAACAATCACCATCATTTAATTCCGGAGTGTTTTCATCACCTTAAAAAAGCCCTGTATCCTTTAGTGGTAATTCTACATGTCTACCCCCCACCCGCTGGCAACTACTAAAACTCTCTATGAATTTGCCTACTCTGGACATGTCACATAAAGAGAATCATGATATGTGGCCTTTTGTGCCTGGCTTCTTTTGGTTAATGTTTCCAAGATTCATCCAAGTTGTAACATGTAGAAATACTTTGTTCCTTTTCATGGCCAAATAGTATTCCATTGTATTTATATACCATATTTAATTCATCACTCATGGCCATTTGGGTTGTTTCTACTTTTTGGCTATTATGAATAATACTGCTATGAACATTTGGACACAAGTTTTTATGTGACCACGTTT